AAAGCAGTCTTTGTAATGGACAGCCATGTACTGAGTTAAAAATTGAGGACCCTTATGAGGAAGAGTGGGCAGATATGGTGGGTCAACTAGTCATCTTTGTCAGAGTAAGTGATGGAAATTGAGGCATGCTTTGGAAATAAAATAAATTGAACTGGATTGGATATATTGATGTTGACACTGGGTTACAAAAGCAAAAGGGGAATCAAAAAGGTCTTCAGATTTTATTTCAACCAGGTTAGTTTACAGTATGTGTGTGGTAGTCGCTCAGTCATGTCCGATTCTTTGCAACCCCACGGACTGTAGCCCGTCAGGTTCCTCTGTCCTGTCTTGTGGGATTCTCCAGGCAAGAATACTAGAGTGGGTTGCCATTCCCTTCTCCAGGGGATGTTCCTGACCCAGGGATTGAACCCAGGTCTCCTGCACTGCAGGCAGGTTCTTCACCATCTGAGTTCCCAGGGAAGCCCCAGTTGACAGTATGGAGTCCCCTTTTAGCAAACCTAAGAGAAACACATATTCAAAATGTATTAAGTACATACCACAAAGCAGTGGTCACCAACCTTTTTGGCACGAGGGACTGGTTTCATTGAAGATAATTTTTCCACGGACCAGGGAGGGAGTGGGGATGGTTTGGGGATGATTCAAGCACATTACATTTATTGTGCACTTTATTTCTAATTTAATGCTGTCACTGATCTAACAGGAGGTACCAGTCCAAGGCCTGGAGGTTGGGAACCCCTGCCATAAAGCATTCTAAGTAAGATACTATAGCGATATCACAGGGAGATGACCCAGTTGCCAACCATATTCAGTGGGTTGACAGTGTAGTCTTCCTCCTTCCACCTACCTAAGACAGTGTGATTAACTGCTGGCACTGTCTGTTATTAATGCTATAAAATAAAAAGTTTAGCATGGTGCCTGGCCCATGGTAAACATTCAATAAACTAATGATGAACATTTTAACCTGTCTTTTCAAACATAAGAGTCATCCAGGGGTCAAATGAAAAACTGAACCGTAAAAGTTGAGGCTTCTTGTGAAAATGAGTGAGAGGGCTTTTCTTCAGTGGATACAGAAATGCGAGGCATTGATCCCATCCTGTAAACTGACTCTGCTGGCCAGGTAGTGATGAAAACCAATTTGCTTTTTTTGGAGGGGACAGGATAGCTGTTGGCTCACTGTATGCTCATTTCCTGGAAAACTGAATCTATCACAGGAGATAGGAGGGGCAGTACAAAAAACCCTGGAATCAAAGTACAAGATAAAGAAGCTCAAAAACATTAGAATTCTGCCTGCCCAGACATTCCCAGTTTTAAGGCCAAGGACAGCAACACAAGTAATTCAGTTCTGGACCATGAACTAAGGGCAAGGCACATGCAAAGTTATTCCAACTATTGGGTTAGCCAAAAAGTTCATTTTTTTTTTTTCCTGCAAGATGACTCTAGCGGTGTTTTGTTGTCTTTAACTTCATTAGAAACAATTTTGTTAGATTGTATTGTGACAACAATATCAGCCCGCATTAAAAATAAAGGGTGAATTTTTGTATAACCATTTTAATATTGAAGATGGAAGAAAAAAGCAACATTGATATATTATGCTTTATCATTTTAAGAAGGGTATGGATAAAGTGCAGAGACTGATCAAATGGGTCAAAAGTGGACAGTCCTCACTAGTTGATGCTCCATGCTCCAAAAGACCAACTGAAGTTGATAGTGATCAAATCAAGACATTAAGTGAGCACAATCAACCTTATGTCATGTGGGAGATAGCTGACATACTCAAAATATCCAGATCAAGCGCTGAAAATCATTTGCAACAGTTTCGTTATGTTCATTGCTTTGAATTTCGGTTCCACATAAGATAAGCAGAAAAAAGTTCTTGATAGTATTTCTGCATGCAATTTTCTACTTAAATGTAAACATGTTGTTTTTAAATCAAATCATGACAGAGGATGAAAAGTAGATACTGTACAACAACATAGGACAGAAGAGATTGTGGACCAAGTGAAATGAACCACCACTAACCACTCTAAAGGTTGGTCTCCATCCAAAGAAGGTGATGGTATGTATATGGGGGATTGGAAGGCAGTCTTCTAATATTCTGGAAGACCAAGGGCTTCCCTGGTAAAGAATCTGCCTGCAATGTGGGAGACCTGGGTTTGATCCATGGGTTGGGGAGATCCTCTGGCTAAGGGAACGGCTACCCCACTCCAGTATTCTGACCTGGACAATTCCATGGTCTGTATGGTCCATGGGGTCGCAAAGAGTTGGACATGACAGAACGACTTTCACTTTCTTTCTGGAAAACCAAATGATTAATTCCAACAAGTACTGATCCCAACTAGACCAAACTGAAAGTAGCATCAGAGAAAAGTGTCTGGAATTAACTGACAGAAAACACATACTCTTCCATCAGAATACCACAAGACCACGTGTTTTTTTGATGACCAGGCAAAAGCTATTAAAGCTTAGTTGGGAAGCTCTGATTCATCCTATGCATTCACCACACATGGTACCTTCAGTTTTCCATTTATTTAAGTCTTTACAAAATTCTCTTAACAGAAACAATTTCCATTCCCTGGAAGACTGTAAAAGGCACCTGGAACAGTTCTTTGCTCAAAAAGATAAAAGGTTTTGGGAAGATGGAATTACAAAGCTGCTGAAAAATGGCAGAAGGTAATGGAACAAAGCAGTGAATACACTGTTCAGTAAAGTTCCTGGCAAAAATGAAAAATGTTTCTTTCATTTTTACATAAAAACTGAAGAAACCTTTTGGCCAACCCAATACATCATCTCAACTCCAGGGTCGGGGACCAGGGTGATAAGGGGCAGAGTGTGGGTGCAGACAAGGTTGTCTAAGAGCGGGTTCTCAACTTCTATAGCAGGTGAGACAGAAGTAACCTGCCTTGGGAAAATGTGAAATGTGAAAATTCACACGTGTGTATTTCCTCTCCACACCAAACTTGGAACGTAATTTTCAGCATTGTGTTAGAGAACATATAGGGTTTTCCAGGTGGCTCAGTGGTAAAGAATCTGCCTGACAATGCAGGAGACGCAGGAGACTCGGGTTTGATTCCTGGAATGAAAAGCAGAGAGTGTTAAAAGTCTGGAAGAGGGAAAGATTAATTACAAGACTTAGTAGTAATTTCTACCAGGAAGTGGTATTTGGGCTGGGTCTTGACAGGTAGGTATAATAGAATTTTAGTATTTAGGGGAGAGAGGAAACTTTTTCAGGCTGAGAACGTCATAAACAAAGGTGTGAAAGGACTGATTGTGAGGGACACAGTGGCTCAAGCGTTTCAGTATACGGACCTATCCCAGCCATGGATGAAGGCAGATTGTGGAGGGCTTCTCATTTCAGGTCCAAGATTAATGAATTTATCACAAAGGCAACCAATGAGAATTTTGAACAGGGTTAAAGCTGGCTAAGTCTGTGTTGTAGGGATGTGGCAACTGGGAGATAGGCTGGAAAACGCAAAGGTCAGAGGTATGGAGACCAGTTCCGAGGCCACTGGAACAGTCTGGAGAACACTGAAATAAAATCTTACCTAAAGGAAAGAGCATGATGGTACTGGAATAGTCCTGGTTAGAATGGTTATTAATTACTTAACTGGGTGGCCAGAGTAAGTTACTTCACCTGAAAGTTAAAGTGTTAGTCGCTCAGTCCTGTCTGGCTCTTTGTGACCCCATGGACTATAGGCTGCCAAGATCTTCTGTGCGTGGGATTCTCCTGGCAAAGATACTGGAGTGGGTCGCCATTTCCTTCTCCACGGGATCTTCCAACCCAGGGATCCGACTGGGTCTCTGGCATTGCAGGCAGACTCTTTTACAGTTTGAGCCCCAGGGAAGCCCTTAAACTGAGCCTCATTATATATTCTCTGCATACCTGCTCAGTCATGTGGGAGTCCTTATGACCCCATGGACTATAGTCCACCAGGTTCCTGTCCATGGGATTCTCCAGGCAAGAATGCTAGAGTGGGTTGCCATTTCCTCCTCCAGGAGATCTTCCGGACACAGGGATAGAACCCAAATCTCCTGAGGCTCCTGCATGGTCAGGCAGATTCTTTACCACTAAGCCACATGGGAAGCCCTATATGTTCTCTAACACAAAAAAAAGTACTGCTCCGAGTTTGGTATGGAGGGTAAATAAACATGCGTCAAGCAATGTGAATGATCATTACTAAGGAAGAGATCTTTTCAAAAGTTTCTCCCTGTTCTAAGGACAACTTGTAGGGGCTTGTACCACTTCTGCTGTAGTTAGTACCTTAGCCTTCTTTTGTAACAGCTCGTTTCACGTGTCTTCTCGCTTCTGGAAGGCTTGCCCCATCAGGGCTTCTGGAGAGTCCCATCTAGGTCCCCGGTTTTCGGGCCCCTGGGACTGGCATGGGTGCCCAGCAAGCGCGGGAGGGAGCCGAGGAGCGCGGCGTAGACCAGGCGGGCGGAGGGCAGCGCGGCCCGCAGGCACCGCGCGGGATGGACGGGGGCGGGGATGGGGAGGCGTGTGGGGATTTCTATGAGGTCGCCGGGGCCCAAGCGCAGCGGGCACAGTTCCAAACCTCTTCGAGGGCCAGCGCGGTCCCTCCGGCCGGGGGCGCGGGCTAGAGGATGCCAGACGCAAGCGACTCCCTTCCAGCTCAGAACTGAAATCCCCTTCTCTCGGCCTTTAGCGGCTCCAGCCGGGGAAACCCTAGCCCCTTTCCCCTCGGCTCTAGCCCTTTTTCCTTCCTACCCCCGGGCGGGGACCCGAGGGGTGGGGGTTGGGGGCGGCGCGCCGCGTTCCAGAAGCGCCGGGCGGGAGGCGGTGGCCGAGCGGGGCGGTGCGCGTGGGTGAGGGGGGGTGGGCCGGAGGAGGGGAGTCTGGGAACTTTGAGACTAGGCCCTCGGTGACATCCAGGCGGCGCCACGGCCTGCCCAGCCTCCTGGGCCCTTGCAGAGTCGCGGGGCCGCGCCGCTCGGAGAGAGATCCCGGCTACCCTGATCTGCGCGCAATCGGGACGGCGGAAGACATGAGCGCGGGCATGGGCGGCTTCTGGCCGGAGCCGTGGCTGCCGCGGTCGCTCGGCTCCCCGGGCCTGGCCCTCGCCGCGGCCCTGCTGCTGATGGTCTTGTGCCTGAGAGCGCGGCGCACCAGGTAAGCGCCCCGCTGACCCCGCGCCTGCCGGGGCCACGCATGCGTCCTGGGCCCAGAGCGCCCTCCAGCATCCCCGGCGCGCGGGCTCACAACTTGTGGGCGCGCCGGCGTCTCTGGGGGTCGGGTGTTAACACAAAGCTTCCCTGCCTTCTTCTCAGGCACACGCAGACCGTGTGCAAGCGTGGGCACCGAATTTGAATTCGATTCGCTGCTCCAGGCTCGGTTGTAGTCAGCCCTGGGTTTGCGGTGTTACACACTAGGTGTCACGCATGGTTTCCAGACACGTTGTGGTGTCTTGCTGCAGTGAGTTGGTGCTTTATGGCCTAGCCTGCGAAGTATCTCAGGAAGGGAATTCTGTTTCATTTCGTTTTGTTAGAAGTGAAATGTTTTAGGAAAATCCCAGTGTATGGTATGAATAGTACCTCTGGCTGCCTCTCTGGGACTCAGTTTACCACTGACCGGCATCTGGAAAAAAGAATAGTAACTCCTGGGATTTTGTGGATACTTAATGAGCTTGCAGGGGCTTCCCTGGTAGCTCAGCTGGTAAGGAATCTGCCTGCAGTGCAGGAGACCCGGGTTCGATTCCTGGGTGGGGAAGATCCCCAGGAGAAGGGATAGGCTACCCACTTTGGTTTCTTGGGCTTCCCTGGCGGCTCAGACCGTAAAGAATCCGCCTGCGACTGGGGAGACCTGGTTTCGATCCCTGGGTTGGGAATGGTCCCCTGAAGGAGGGCATAGCAACCCACTGCAGTATTCTTGCTTGGAGAATCCCATGGACAGAGGAGCCTGGTGGTCTGCCGTACATGGGTCCCACAAAGAGTGTGCAAAGAGTCCCACACGACTGAACGACTAAGCACAGCAGTGAACTTATAGTGTGTATTTTATACACTTACTCTGTTATTTTTATTAGAACAGAAAAAAAACAGCATATTAACAACAACAAAACTCAGAAGTGCGTCACTTCATTATCTGATTTGAAAAGGGGAAGGAGAACAGAACATAAAAGTACTCACTTTGAAATCTGTTTGTCTTTTCTTGCTGAGTCACTTTTTCATACCACCAGGTTCTTCGTAGCTTTTTTTCCTCTCCCTTTTTTGTCTGATCATCTGGGTGGATCTCGGTCAGGTGGGGAAGTTGGGAAGATCAGTGATTTTGTTGGGGACATGTTAGATCAGTAGAGAAGTCTGTTTCTGGTGCTTGGTGGCAAGGTCCAGGGAAGATGTTTAATGATAAAAGTCACAATATGAAAATGGAACATCAAGTCTTGAGTAAGGTTTGTCACCTTGTGAAAGAGTGATGAAGAAGCAGGGGTCCCAGGGCATTCTCCTTATTGAAGAGCCAGCAGAAGAAGATCACCAAAGAAGACTGAGAAGGAGGGGGCCGACGGCATGGGAAGAAAACCAAGTGAATGTGGTGTCCTGTAAACTAGATAGAAATGTGTTTAAACAGGTAAGGGAGTTATCTGTCAGATGCTGCTGAGAGGTCTAATTTGTTGAGGACAAAGGACCTTCAGAGTTGATAAGGTGGAGAATTCTCCTGCAATGTGGGAGACCTGGGTTCGATCCCTGGTTTGGGAAGATCCTATGGAGGAGAGCATGGCAACTCACTCCAGTATTCTTGCCTGGAGAATCCCCATGGACAGAGGAGCCCTCGGACTATAGTCCATGGGGTTGCAAAGAGTCGGACACAACTGAGTGACTCAGCATGGCACACAGCACAACACATAATTGATAAGAGTGAAACTGAGAATTGATGGACATCTAGCCTGCTTGAAGTGGATTTAAACACTGTTCTACAGTACTAGCTCCTAAGGTTTTATTTTCAGGTGAGAGTGAAATGTAGTATTATGTTTCATATCTCTTGAGGCAATGATTCCAGTAATTTTATTTAAAGGAATCTCTCCTGGTGAACTAATCATGAAGGTCCTTAAAGATTTAATTAGCACAGTGCTCATTAGGGCTACTTATAACAGTGAGATATTAGAAAAAAACTGTTTTCCAAAAAAATACTGTTTTAGTTAAAAAAAATTATTGCATATCAGAGTCATAGAAACTTCTGTAGCCATGATGAAGACATAGAAATCTACATTCAAGATACAGTAAGTGAACAAACTTACAAAACAGAATATGTTCATGTACGTGGTTCAGTGACGTCCAGCCAAAGACCACTGGGAACACATCTGGAATGAGCTGAATTATTGCTTATCGCTATGAGAAAGAACACACACCATTCGTTCTGGATAAGAGTGTTAGAAAGGACCTATTTATGGGATTTGGGTTTCTATTATGTGATTTTGGGGACAGTTCAAGGAAGCAAGGTTTTGCTCTGTTGGTAAGATACTCTCAGATGGTTGAGGCTAGTCTGTGATTGGACACCTTAATAAGTCTCCTTGATGAGGCAAGAGGAATGCATTGAGGCTGAATCAGTAATTAGTGTAAAAGCAACAGACACTAGAATTAGTAATGTTTGGGGGATATTTGGTCATTTTATTGATTTAGACAGTGATTTCTGTCAGTATTTAGACATGATTTCTGTCAATATTTAGACATGATTATGGATTGATCTCATTTTTGACTTTGTAATAGTCATGGAGTGGCTTTCTTTGATCACTTAATCAAATGTTTGAGTAATAATGGCTTCACATTTGCTCCGCAGAAGAGTGCAGTGCCATAGCTATTGTCAACTGAAGAGAAATGCGCAACCTAAAGTTATGAGTTATGTTGTATCCAGACTTATGAAAACTATATAGCCCAATAGACAGCCTTTCACATAGCTCTGAGGAGTGTTCCAAAAAGGCAAGGGAGGAGCCAGGATATATAGGAGTTTTCGCTGAGGAAGAAAAAAAAATAATCCATGTACATCAAAAGGTTACTGCTAATCACAAAAAAATAGGCATCTCAAGTTAATGATTTTAGTTCTTTTCTATGTATAGGTAGGGGCTTTCCAGGCAGCTCACTGATAAAGAATCTGCCTACCAAGCAGGAGACTCAGGTTTGATCCTTGGGTGGGGAAGGTCTCTTGGAGAAGGAGATGGCAACCAGTCCAGTATTCTTGCCTGGGAAATCTCAGACAGAGGAGCTTGGCAGGCTATAATCCATGGGGTTACAAAAGAGTCACTGAAGTGACTGGGCATGCATGTGCAAACATTCTTTTATAAGACTCTTTGTGGGCATATATTTAGTTATTTCTTGGGTTAAAATCCTGAAACCTTTGAGAAGGTTGATGGGTCATGGGGTAGAGACTTATACTCGTAACTGTGTTGGAAAATGCCACTTTTCCAAAGTATACTTTTTGTAACTCTTCTACCAGTACATACTATTCAGGAGTTCCAGTTGCTCTGTATCTTCACCTGTATCAGATGTGGACGGTCTGTGGGTTTATAAACCCAGCTTTCTAGATTCTGAATGTTTGTCTTCCCCTGAAGAGTGTTGAATTTTGTTTTAGAGTGCAGGTGTATTTCTCTTGAACTTGGGGAAGCTTAGCTTTATTTTTTTTATAAAGTCTATGGAAAGTTCCATATACCGGGAAATCCACTTCTGGTGGGATTGCCAGGGAAATCCAGTGGACAGAGGAGCCTGGTGGGCTACAGTCCATGGGGTCGCACAGAGTCGGACATGATTGAGTGACTGACACACACATGGAAAGCTGAGAATATTTTCTAAGCGTCTTTTCCTTGCTAGGATTCAAACCCGCAACTCTGTCCCCCCAGCAGTGGGCAGCACCTGAAACCTCTGTTCAGTTCTTTGAATCTACCAACTGACTCCTTCCAAAGGGCTCTTTGAAATCTCCTCCACAGATCCATGCTTCTGAGTTTGGCCAACAATTTGAGGGGTGATTATATGCATATTTTTTCTAGGTTTCTCTTCTGGATTTACACCCACTTCCAACCCCAAACTCTGACACCTTGATCAGTAATACTGTAGCAGGTTGCTTGAGTTTCAGCTGCCTCTCCCTCTTGCAGATCTATCAGAGGAAATGCTGTGTACCCTGGACCTAATTCATTATGAGTCTGTTCTTTAAGGGGTGACTTCCCTTCAGTATCTGCCTTCTTTTGCTTGTTCTTTAACACATTTAAAACATTTTTTTGGTTTGTTTATTTTATATTTTATTATCTGTAAAAATGTTAGGTTATTTTAAGCTACTTCACCATTCCTGCTGTGTCTGACTCTTTGTGATCCACCAGGCTTCTCTCTGTCCATGGAATTTTCCAGGCAAGAATACTGGAGACGGTTGCCATTCCTTCTTCAGGGGATCTTCTTGACCCAGGGATTGAACTCACATCTCCTGCATTGGCAGGCAGGTTCTTTACCACTGAGCCACCTGAGAAGTCCTACTTCATCATTAACAAGAACCTAAACCCACATTTCTAACAGTGATTATATCTAGGTTTCTTTTTGTGGGATAATTTTTTATCTCCTATTTTATGCTTATATTTTCAAATTGTCATAATACATATGCCTTTCTTTCATAATACAAAATAAGCAATACATTTAAATAAAACTTTGAAAAATTATTTTTAAATGTTTTAAATAATTTTTTCTTTTTCAAAGAACCAGCATTCTGGATCAGTGGTAGTGGTTAGGATTCTAACTTAGAAGGTATGATTTGAGTGGTTCTAGGAATTCCAATTCATTTCCAGAACATCATTAGTAACATATGATATATGTTTTTGTCCAATAATTAGCTACATTTTTTTAAAAAAAATCACTGTTTACTAATAATAGACTTAAATACAGATACTTTTCAATATATTTTAGAAGACAACATCATATAAATAGAGTCTGTGTAGCAAGACAGAGTTGAAAACAGACACATCTCTGTTATTCTTTCCCTACTTCCCCATCCCCTGTAAAAAGGACCAAAATCAGTCCTACCAAAAAATATAAAATAAATATAAAATTGTTAAATTGTTTTAAATGAGATAAAAGTGGCACTAAATATCATGTTTCCTGAAGAGGACACATAAAACATAATTAAAAGCTTTATAATCAATGGGAGAA